AATCGTTGCATCGGGCGGTGTTGGAGACGACCCAGATCGGTGCAGTCCTGGGCTGACGCAAGTAGCCCTAACAGCTGTTCCCAAAAGTGAACAGTCTGTTGCACCGCTAAGACTTTGGCAATCATCGCCTGAATCTTGTGCCATCCATCCCAATTGCTCCAAGAGCCGAAGTGCGAAATCCAGCTGACGAGACAGCACATCTGTCATTTGATTTGCAACTAGCGAGTCGTCCAGGTATGCAAAGTACCTGACACCCCTCTTGTGGAGGAACCCTACTATGGGGGTGGTTAACTGGGTGAACAGCCAGGGAGCGGACGATAGGCCGAATGGGAGTGCAACCCATTCGTAAAGCCTGCCTTGAAAGACAAACCTAAGATACTTGTGATGGTCCGAGTGAATCGGAACATGCAGATAAGCATCGTCCAGTTGGCTGGCTTGATCAGAGCTTTCAAGTCCGCCAAGGTCAACATTCTGAACTTGGGCGGCTTTTGCAGGTAAAACCCCGGTGTTATTTTTGGTAGGGCTAAATCCCGTACCACCCTCTTCTCCACCAACCTGCCGATAGCATCGGCTAGGATGGGAAGATCGGTTTCCGAATAGAAACCTGTCAACGGGTGAGTGGCGGATCTGCCTTGAGATCTAGCCGATATCCGTACCGGATCATGTCGACCACCCACGGGTCGTCGAACACTTGTTCCCAATTCTCACAATAAGTCTGGAGTCTGGCTCCGACAGGGGAAGGAAAGGGAGGCCTGACAGGCTGCGGCAGGCGCAACTGTCCAGGGCCGAATGACTCGGGTTCGCCTACGGGCCAACCGAAGCTGGCACTGTTGGCACACGAACCCTGCAAGAGAGAGTCATTTAGAGGAGCCCTTACCGTCAGTGTCCCTTCTTCCCCCAAAAGGGTGGCAGGTTGCCCTTACCTTCCCAGAGGAAGAAGCCACCGACCCCTTGGTCTTCCTGGCCGCAGCATCCTGAGGGGCACTCCCTGGGCACCACCTAACCAACGTGTGCCGCGAAGCCGCGGCAGACTGCTGTTCCTTCAGAACACCAGGGATCCGGTTATTAAACAGGGTCTGCGCAGACCAAGGCTGCAAAAGGAGCACCTCTTGGTTAGCAGCGTCCAACCCAGAGGAGGCAAGGTATGCTTGCCGCCTCACAGAAATGGCACTGACAGGAAGAAAGGCCGAAGCCCCGGCAACGTACTCAAGGGTTGAATTTAAACCGATCAGACAGTTGTAAATGCGCTGGGTTCGGTCCGTGGGGGAACCTTCAACCAGACTGGCCGCCGCAGCCAAGTAGGTGTCGCCATGTGACATAGCGAGCATGGAGCGCCGAGAGAGGGTGTCCATTTTCTGTAAAGTTGCCTGAGGGACTGTAGCAGCAGGTGGGGCACGGACACCCAGCCTCTCCACATGGGCCCCCACAGTGGGACCTGCCTCAGGGAAGGCCAGGTCATGCACCGGGAACCCTTTCTCCATGACAGGGGAGGCAACGGGAGTCCCCGAACGGAGGCCGCCGTGAAGGCTTTCTCCAGAGATGGCTTGATCCCCCACAACAAAGTTGACACGGGAAAAGCCTTGTCGGGGGACTCGTCAAAAACCTCGGCGGAACCCACCGAGCCATGGATTCCCCATGGTACCGGCTGGGGCTTCGGCATGTCCTCAAAGAGGTCATACACCATGGCCACACGGTCCTTAGTCCATAACGGTAGCCGCCATTGTACCTGTGGACCCCGCGTCCGAACCCGCAGCCACCGAAGGTGCCGGGGACGGAACAACCAGGGCCTTATCCTGAGATAAGGCCATCAGTTTGGAGTCCACCAGTTGGGATAACAAAGACGTGACGGAATCCCCGGAAAGCCCAAGGGCCACCAAGGGATCCGCCGCCGTGGAGGTAGTGCCCGCAAGGGGCGCCCGACCGGACGAACCGGCCACCTCAGGGGTGATAGCAGAGCTCGCTTAGCGCCTGTATCGCTCAAATTCCTCCGGCCCTAGACCCTCGCACTGGGTGCACTGGGTGTCCTCGCAAGGAACCCGACACCGCGGACAATGATCGTGAGGATCCCGAGAAGACAGAAACTTCTGACAGGCCACACAGCTCCTGTTTACAGGAGTAGCAGGGGGGCTGGACAAAATGTCCAATTCCATGACCGACATTGTTCCATTTGAACAAAAAACAAAACATGGTTACAACACACACACCAAACATATTCACAAAACGGATATTTTCCAAAGAAAAACAAACGATAAATGCGAATACATAAAATACATATAATAGAATTATATATATATTAATAGGTGATGCAAAAAAAACCCAATATATACCACTAAAGGTGGACGGAAAACACGAAGTGCCGACGCCACACCCTGTTAGTAGTGAAAAAAAAGGCGGGAGAATTTTCCAAGCACCTTATATTGAATGCCCCGTAAATTACAGTTTACTTAGGACTAAGAAAAAGTAATAAATTTCACCAAAGGATTGGCAGGAGGCGAAAAACAGGACCGTAGTAGGAACGCAGGAGAGCAGTCACAAAACGTCTTGCTAGGGCAAGCGAAGAGACAAGAGTGAAGGGTGTTACATGACAGCATAGGTGACTAGGCACGTGCTGCATGAGGTAATTGAGATCTCTGTGGAAGATTTCGCTATAAGAGCAGTTGTGGGAGACAACAGCCTCGGTATAACAGTGGTAACGTATTACTTAATGTAATTACTCCTTTATGCATCTTTATCCGAAGGAATCGGTGGAGGGCATACCTTCAGATGTGGACTTTCATCTCAGAGCTCTGATCCCTCAGCCAATCCTCGGCTGTGTGGTCAGCTTCGAGTGACCAATCCATGTATGGGAACCTCCGTTTCCCTCTGCCATTGGCCATTTCATTGACGGGAACCATGTCCAGGTACACCCCAGAAACACCCCTCCATGATGGCACGTAGAGAGCAATTGCTGTGTAACACCATGATGGAGGCGACCCCCTGGATCTCATGAGGGTCGTTGGAGCATGGGGGGTCCAATCCCGCTACCTTGTAGGCCTGGAGAATGATGGCTCGTAGCCAGAGGGCGATCGTGCTGCGGCTAACTTTCCCCCCTTTTTTGCCAATCCGGGAGTGGCAGTGGGTTGGAGTCAGCTAGCTCTCTAAAGGTCGACGAACCAAGCCCTCGCCGGCCACCAGGGCGCGACTTAAGTCAGATCGAGGTTGTGTCTTTCCGACCTTCTGGACGACCCTGGGAAGGAGTACAGGTGAAGGTGTCAACTGCCCAAGCCAGGGGATCCAGAACTGGCGATATGTAGGTTGGTATCTTGTAGTTTTGCCAGAATCGACCCAGTCTCCCATCCACTGGAGTGTCAACAGCTTGGACAACTTGGGGTGGGAGGTCCCAGTTGTGCGTGTCTGGTGACTTTCCTTTACCTCTGCCTCTGCTCCAAAGGTTGAGGTGGAGTCCCGCCCCCGGGGCTGGAGGGTGTTGCATCACGGCTGGTAGGAGCCAGACCAGGATGCCTTAAAGGAGGCTGGCTGTGACATCCTAGCCAGGGCCTTGAAAGCCGTCTGTTCTCGGGTGAAGGCTAAGACTCAAGAGTGAGTCTTGGAGTAGTTGCCTCGTTTAGTGAGGGGGTCTGAAGGACGGAGTCAGGGAGAGTTTGCTGTCCTCATCCTGGGCCGAGATCATGTCCTTGATCAGCGGGTCTGGTGGGAGCGAAGTCAGGTCCGAACGGAGGGCTGTCTTGCTATCAACCTCTAGGCCAGGAGAGGGAGTGACTGTCTTGAGTCTATCAGCCAAAAAGTCTGCAACCTGGCCGTTTGTGGGGGTGATGTCATAACAACGGATGAAGGCATTCTCTGAGGATTTGGAACGGTAGCCCCTAGAGCGTCTGCATACCGGGAAGCAGCTCCTAGATCGGAGACCCAAACGAGACAACAGACTGTCACTCTGACGTGAGGACGTACTTAGGGAAGCCAAGTCAAAGGAGTAACCAGAGGTAGATGGGACATCAATGACCCATGGCAGAGATGGCATCTGTATAGGCGTTCGATGAGGCGCTGGCAAGGGTTCGGGCGTCTGTATAGGCACTGTTTGATGGATAGACGCTGACTGCATAGGCGCTAGGAGAGGTGTCTGCAGTGGTGTTATGGGTGGTGCTTGTAGTGGCATCTGTAGGCGCTGGGGCAATAGGCGTCAGCGTCTGCATGGCCTGCAAGTACTGGATGTACTGGAGAAGAGGCGTCTATTATAGGCGTCTGTTGGAACTTGTGTGTCTGTCCGGTGGACTGTACAGGTGCTTAAACAATCATTACGACAAACGTACAAAACGAAGACAAATACTTGCAAGGGTACGACAATGGTGAGGTACCAAGCAAGAAGAATATAGAACGCAAACCAGTTCATAACTCACAAAGACAATATACAATAACTCAAGGAGCAACCACGTGAGGGTTTGAACAAGTTTATGCTGCAGATGAAAAAAACGTCTTCACTCAGCAAGTGACAAGAGTAACGTGTGGATTCATGACGTCACTTCCTTTGGTCACGTGGGAGCTGTGTGACAGGGTTGGTCTCTCAGCTAGTTGGAACAAGCAAAGACTTTAACATAGCACTTTTCTCTGTCAAGAACAAGCAGTTATATGCATTATGGAGTAATGCAGGATACGTATACAAATATACAATAATATGTGTTTTGAGATGCAGGTATATTATGTCTATGGTCATCTGGAGTCTGGTGAAAATTTGTGGTGTCCATCAAGAGTAGATTATACGTCTGTGAGCAAGGTAAACTTTGTGTACAGTTACAATGTGCTACTGATGCCTTCATTCAAATGATCAGTGATGACACAAAATAGTCCTGATCACCCGTGTTGTTATTACACAATGTGTAATTCAGATGCAAACAGTGATATCTTCTACGGGTGATTCATGAATTGTTTTTCTTGCTGAGATAATCTTTGTGTTTTCAACAAGCCATAACCAGCTTTCATCAGGTAATAAAAATATAAACACTCACTCTAACATGGGCGTTGCTTTAGAAAAGAAGTTGAAGAAGAGCTGGTATTCATCCTCACATACATGCACCATGAAGGCACAGCCACTCCGCATCTGCAGAACACAAACACACACGCTTCAGCAAGGAGCTCGCCCAGTGTCAGAGAATTTACTTCATTGTTTGAAGCAACAGTCACAGGTAAATCAACAGCCTTCAATGCCTCATCTATTAAAGTAATGCTGAGTATACAAGATGAAATATTTTATTTGTTTAGTTTCAACTAATGAAAGGAAATTACTGTGGCTGGAAAACGGAAATTCTCTGATTAAAACCCTAAGTTATTATCTATACACTATGATTCCCTAACATACTTAAACAACAGTGTAAGCACATACCAGTGCACAGTGATCACGGACATGTCTGGTGGCCAGGTCTGTGATGGTGGAGGCAATACTGGGTCCAAGAAGCGTCTCCCTCTGTACGAAGTAGCAGTGGTGGCAGTCTGCCAGGACGTCGGCATACCTGGAGGCACAAATAGCAACAGTGCAGTGAAGTCAACAATGTTCCAGCTTTATGACAGTGGCCTGTAAGTAATAAAGTTGGCAAGCAGGTGTCTGAAAGCATGAGTAACAATCAATGCCACAGCACTTTAGGGCTGGACTTAATATGCATGTAAAGTCTACGTTCACCTCACACTTATGTCATTACATTTGTTTGAGATTTCCTACTTGATGTAAGTAAAAACTGATGTATGAACTGCACTTACTCTGGTGTCTTATCCACTCTTATCTCAAGTTGTTCTGTGAGGGATTTAATACGAGGAGCATTGGCTCGGAATTTGCCGTAGAACAGTGTAAATGCATTGTCGGCCATGTTTGGAACATCCTGCTGAAAATGAAGAGTATTTCTTCTCATCAGGTCTCACATGTTGCTGGTTACCTAAATCAATATAATTTAGAACACAGACAATCTCTGTAACTGACAAACAGTCTTTATCCCAGAGTGTATATGCTACAATTGCTCACTGAAGATTCAATGTTTGATAATATGTGGGCCAGAGGTTTTAGATGCACTAACATAGTGAAAATAATCACCCTCCCCTAATGCTTGTCATATTATTGATGACCCTACTCATGTCCTTGTACATTTCTTTCATGACCCTCCCTGAAAAGACAAAATGCAAAAGCACTTCATATTTTATCATAAAAATGTGCATTTATTCATAACCCACGCCAAGTATGTGTATTAGTTTTGTATGACCATCCCCTAGAGATTGTCATAGTTTTAATGACCCTTCCCTGCTTCCCTCTGACCACCTCAATGAGGCTGAAGAAAAGTGCTAAATTGGATCGCATTGTTTTTATAAAAAATAATAAAATGAAACGTGCAGCAGACTTTATGATGATGCAGGCGGTGCCTGAGAACCAAGACAGCTTTTTTTTTATAGCCAAAGTGACCGGTGGCTAAATTGGTAATGAAGGTCATAACGCTATGCACAGATGGAGGAATACCTTTTTAGGTTGCACCTGTTGTGTCGCATTCTGCAGAAGTGTTGTCACATGCGACTTTATAAGATTAAGTGCTCTGGACAAACTCTGCCGGAACCTGGCTAAATACACTGCTGACTCTTTGTACCTAGGCTAGAATAAACACCAAAAACTTTATTGTGAATCACTGGCAAAGGATCGGAACAAAACTGTGTTGATGTCACAGCCTTGTACTTTCGTATACAGACACCAATATATAATCATAAACAGAGTATTCAGGTAATATTGTTATGCAAATAATATTTAAATTCTTGTACATTACAAGGTGTTTGGTATACATAATTATTGTTTATTAATGATAGACATTAGGGAAAGATATGGTGACCATGGTTACCTTTGTATCTCTCTTAAATAGCATGGTTGATTGTATGCTGACATATTTTCATGGTGGGGTAATTTGTTTGCGAATGTATCTAACTCACATTATTTTTAAGGTAATGAATACATTCATCCATACGGGACAACATCGGAACAAAAGACTCATTTGTAACTGTCAGTGTAGGGGATCCAAGTTTCTGAAATACAATGATGGATGATCAGAATTTATCAACATTTCACAGACCATCACTAAATGTTTTCTTCAGTAAACATGTACTTACTACCATGTAACCGTGGTAACTGTTATTTGTGGCTGCAGGTAACTCCATCACATCAGAGTTAACTAATTCCTTTATTTCATTATCATGATTATGTTCAGTTATCAGTTCTGTATGTAAATGGAGGTTCCGTTATCAGTTGTGTACGTAACTGGAGGTTCCGTTATCAGTTGTGTATGTAAATGGAGGCTCAGTTATCAGTTGTGTACGTAACTGGAGGTTCAGTTATCAGTTGTGTATGTAAATGGAGGTTCCGTTATCAGTTGTGTACGTAACTGGAGGTTCCGTTATCAGTTGTGTATGTAAATGGAGGTTCAGTTATCAGTTGTGTATGTAAATGGAGGTTCAGTTATCAGTTGTGTATGTAAATGGAGGTTCCATATCAGTTCTGTATGTAAATGGAGGTTCAGTTATCAGTTGTGTATGTAAATGGAGGTTCCATATCAGTTCTGTATGTAAATGGAGGTTCAGCTATCAGTTGTGTATGTAAATGGAGGTTCCATATCAGTTCTGTATGTAAATGGAGGTTCAGCTATCAGTTGTGTACGTAACTGGAGGTTCAGTTATCAGTTGTGTATGTAAATGGAGGTTCCATATCAGTTCTGTATGTAAATGGAGGTTCAGCTATCAGTTGTGTATGTAAATGGAGGTTCAGTTATCAGTTGTGTATGTAAATGGAGGTTACACACATACTGTCCCTTAGGGCAATATCCTTGGAAGCAGCTGAGTAATGTGTAACCCGTTCATGGAACAATGCAATCACAAAGATTTACAAAAGTGGATGATACAATCTGTTCTAATCTTTTGGAATGATGTGGCCAGGGCTCAAACCACTGACGACGGACAACTCGCCATGCCATAAGCTCGCTGAACTTTCAGTCAGGTGAGCTAAAAGTTACTTTTTAATCATGCTCATAGTCTTTAAAGATTAAAAAGTGGATAGAAGACTCTACAGGCATGTGATTATCTATAGTCGAGACTGAAGTACTCCTCCACTATCTATGTCTGTTGTGCATTAAGCATCTGAGCAGGTACATCATGTTGGATACATACACTGGATATTCTCTCTAACTCATTAAAGTAGGACAGCTTGTTTGTGAGGCTCTCTGCTGTGTTCATCAGTTTGGTCTGGAAGAGAAAAACAATGTACCATGAGGAAATCCATACTTACATTTCCTCTCACTCAGGGTGTTGCAGAGTGCTAGGTTTTCCTTGCACATACTAAAGCCTCTTCCAGTAAGTCCAGTACCAGACACTTATGTTATTATTGACTATCATAGTCCTTGCCCGATGTCGTATATTTCAGGCAAAAAAAGAGAGTTTATAAAACTAAGAGCTTAATATATTGCTATTGCTTCGGTAGCCTCTTCTTTGACTGGACTCTATTTAGGTTTCATTATCCGGAAAGTGATTTTAATAATGACATTCCTGATTAACCTCACAAAAAATGGACAACAAAATAGGTTGCATTTTACTCTTGTATTCGATTGAGTGAACAATTTCAAAACAGCAAGAAAATTGAGAAAAGAATGGAGAAAATATGGACATTACAAACATTTTGTCAACTACACACATGACAAGAGTATCTATTAATTCAGAAAATAACATTATGGCTTTCTTTTTATCCTGAGCTCAAGAAATGTGTGAGATCACGTACCTGTTCCGCCAGGAGATGTTCACAAGCATCATGCAGAGCGTTAGTCTTGGTGGAGACGTTGACATACTGCTTCTGTAGCTCCTGCAGGTGGTTTAGTGCCTGAGTTACCTCCCCTAGGACACCGTCACACTGGTCACGATGACCCATCAACCCATCCATGTAGTCTCTGTGTACAAGTATTTAGTACACTTAAAACTTGCCTAAATATTTGCCTTCATGGCTCCGCAAATACATTATGCTGTCTCTAAGCAGTTTTCAATATAGTTAACAGTTTTACTTCAATATGCAATATTTTTTATCAACTTCTGTCATTTGTTGCTTAGGTGATTGTTATTAGAATGAGTAAACACTTGTGCCCTCTAAATTTATAGGTATTTCTGTTCCACTAAAAAGCGCAACCAAAACATGTAAAAACATGATGAAACCTTGACAAATGATGCCATCAGTTAAAAACATGTAGCTTTCAAAAGGAAAATGGCATCTGTCACTGCAGTACCTGTAATGGCTTTCATCCTCTTGATCAATGCCATCCTCCAGTTCCGAGAACCAGGAAAAGAACTGGAAAAGTCAAACCTTCAAATGTAAATAATTCTCACACAAGTCAAAAGCCAAACCATAATGCATTAACTACGGACAGAGTCTTTATTAGTACATGGGTTATAAAGAAATTGTATAATGAAGAATAATATGTCATGATAATCAATAATCATGTAAATAAACATGCAGCTTTGTAAGCCTTGTAAGCTTTGATTTTATAATCGACATTTTTTTCAAATTTGATATTCGAAAGATAGATAAATAAATTCCTTCAACATATTCATTTTAAGTCAATAAGTATTTTCACAGTGTAAGAATAACAGCATGTAACATCTGAAAGAACACTGATTTCTGAGACATTAATCTATTTACTATCACTGACAGTGTTTATTGAAAATCAAGTTGGACCCTGAAGTATGAGAGAACTGTGTAACAGGGATGCCACAGATATCGGATGCCCACCTGTTGAGCGTTCTCAATCTTGCCCCCTTCTGGTGGGTTGGACTGGAGGAACATCTGCAGCAGACTGGCCTCACTGGTGCTGCTGCTTGATACACTCACCGGGGGAGGAGACACAACCAGCACATCATCACATGGCAACTGGAGCACACAATTAGCAGGATTGTCACATCATTCACAACCTTTTCTCAACTCAAAACAAGAGCAGGAATGTGACAGAAGATGATTATTCACCATCCATCTCTACAAGTACCGTCTTTGCAAGCCTCTCCATTAGCATGATTACATAGCAAGTCTTTTCAGAAGCAAAAGATCATGTCTGTTAAACTTAAATCATCAAATTCATCAAAATAGTAGATTGCATGTGACATGTAAGTGACATATCTATTCTGTTAAGATAGTTCAGATTAATTTTCTTCAATCCAACAAAGAAATGCCAATCGATAATAGGTTTAAGGCATGAGCAATGATATGGCATTAACAAAATCATGGAAATCAGATGAAGTGTATCACATATCCCCAGCCTGGGACCTCCATGTTCATGACTTGGACACCCATTGTCCCCAATATTTATTACTGAGACTCAGCCCCTGAGAGTCCCCTGGAGTCAAAACTAGAGAGGTCCGAGTAAATCCCTGTAAGGATATCATGAACAATCATGAACATTGTGAACAAGCATGAAATACTCATATCCCCCGTCTATCGCCATTTTCAGTCCAAGTCAAAGTTGTTGCCATGGAAACTCGAAAAACAAAAAAATGCCAAACTATCAAGAGGCACCAGTTCACCACTAGAGATATCTATGTGCAAAGTTTCGTTAAGATACCTCTCTTGGTTTTTGAGTTCTGCTCAGGAAACGAAGCATGATGGACGGAAAGACAGAAGGACAGTGGCCATTCCTATATCCCCCTGCCACTTTGTAGCGGGGGATAATAATCAAGTCTGGGCCAGACAAAAGAGTGACCAAAAGCATGAGCAATGATCCAAGCCATCAGAACAGGATGACATTCAATTTTCATAAAATAGATCTTATAACAAGCTTTGAAAACTAGGGCTTCAACAGGTCAAAAAATATGGACATGAGTACCTGAGGGGTAAGACTTGGCTCGTGCTCGAGTACCCGCAATTATACATCTTTTCAATAAAATTGGCAATTATCCTATCGTATACAAAATGAAAGAGTCACAATGACCTTGTAGATCACTAAGAAAACCAATGTGATCGGGTATCAAATAAAATACCTTTGAAATTTGTATGCTGATTAGCTGAAGCTTCATTGAAATAAGAATTGTCAACTTGGGAAAAGAAATCGTTTACATCTCAATGTAACACACGCCATGTTCAGGGTGAATAACGGTTAATCCTGGAAATAGTATCTTGGTTCTCAGGACAAAATTTTTAATAATGAATGAAAGAGATGTATGGTCTAAGATAGTATAGGAATGGACAAATCTAGAAAAGAGAGACCCAAACTGTACAATGCTACAACAAATGAAATTAGATCAGAGAAACCATTAGCATGCACCTGGTAAACTACATGTCATAACCCTATATTTCTGCAACAGCAACACATGCATATAGTCAAGACAATGTAACTTTTACAAATTCCTGCATTTAGCTTTTTGCTTTTGTCTTCAGAAAACAGAAAACATTAGCATTGAAAATTGTGAGTTTGATATGTTAAGCCATGATTTGATTTGATTCTAGTTTCAATTTGGCTTGCATCTGTGTTTTCTATGTGAAAGTTATAATCCCAGTATACTTAAGGTTGGTGTTCTTGTCAGAAGTCTTCCTTACTGGGAAGCAACTTAATATGAAACATTTACTTGCCTGAATTGTGATGGCACAAATGCATGATAGGGGCACTTGCAACAAAGCCTGACATTCTACTAGATCTCTGGGCGCGCTGTACAAAACAACTTTAACACTACAACTGTCGTAAGTCTATGTTACAGTATGGGAGTTGTGATCACCTTAGCGCAAAGATCGCTTTGTACAACGTTACCTTGGATAGGTAATTTGGCGAACAATTTGGAGTCCTGGGTGTCGTTGTACAAAACGACCTTAGCACAAAGGTTACCTTTTATCCATAGTTTTAACCTTAGGCCTTTAACCTGTTGCATGAAACTACCTTACGCTAAGGTAGCCTGAGTTAAGGTGAAAATTGAAGGTTGGTCCAAGCCAATCCTGTCCTACATTTGAAACCGACGGTTGATGATTTCATCTACTAAAGCTAAATTCGAAGGCATATTTGTATCATACCTAAGCTGCTCCCTCGATGTTCATTTTTACGACACTTACAAACAACAACTACGCTAAATGACGTTTCATTTCATATGATCTAAACAAAACTGTGAATTACAAGTTACGATAAATACATTTCTGCCGAACTTGTAGTCAACAGAGTGCGCGAAAACGGAGGGTACTTTCAACTGTGAGTTTTACAATGAGGAAGCGTCATGCTTACTCCTTGTGGAAGTGGCCGTTCTGTTACAAACGACGTTAGTTCAATAACGGCATCTTTTTGTTTCGTTGTTAGAGGAGCTTTCGGATTTGTCTTTGCTTCCCATTGTGATAATTTCTCTCTGATCAACTTTTGACGGCTAGCAGACTGCAACGTGTCAGCCATTTTGATGCAAAGCAATTGAAAAGTAGGATTCAACAACGAATCAAGAATTAGATTGAAAAGCTAACAAAGATAGAAACGGATCAAGATTCGTGAAACGTTACAATTATTCGACAGAGGAAAGCTGTAATTTTTGGTAATTTTTTCCATGAAAACACTTGGGCTGTTTAATCGATAATAGTTTGTTGTGAAATTGTAAAACAGTGTGATTATCTAGTATCTGACCACAACCTCTGTACCGTGTCATTCTTCTAGTTGTATTCAGTGCGCACCAGTACATACTTAGAAATGTTGTTGCTTCCAGGAAATGTTTGAGAGGATCTGTCTGGACATTGGGTAATACTGGTATATCGGTCACTAGCAGCGGGACATGACGTGCTTAGTGTTGCCTCAGCGTAGGAAATAACAGGAACCTAGCTGGTAACCGTATCACTGTGCTTCTCACTATAAACGACTTGTTCTTACACCGTGTAGCCACAAGTCGAAATCAAAATTGTTGACAGGGAGCAGCCAGAGATAGAGTTACCACACCTAGCGTGAAACGTAAACATGTGTGAAAATTGACTGCAACATGTTAATTACGTTTAAACGTAAAATCAAATGTGCACACTGTGTAAATCCGAGTAAATTGTCGACTTCTTAGAAACATAAACGCCCAAACAAGTGCTTGGTTAGTCAATCGAGTGCTCTAGAATCGCTTTCATATTTTCTACATTTTGAAGTTTCTAAATATATGTGATTAATTCCAATATTATTCTTTAATTCTGGTTGATTTTTTTAACAATATCGTAATGATAATCTATCATTTTGAAAAGTATTTGTTCTTTTAGAGGTATCCATGCATCATCAAATAACATGAACTTTAAGCCTTAGTAATATATTGTATATGTAGACTTTACCTGATACGTATTGACCGTTTCCCCCCGAAAATGGATGGTATTTGAAGGGGAAGTGTACATGCAAAAATCACTTCCTTTCTTATTTTAAACTAAACGAAATTTTAGAATTAGTTGGTATCAGTGTTTGAAAATATACCCTCATTTTTCTCACAGTGAAAGTAGGAAGCTCTCAGTAAGTGTGAAAATGTCATGCCGTTATGAGGACTTCGTTTTCCGAGCTAAAAGGTCTGAGGTTTTTTACCCCCCTTAGATTATGACGTAATTGGTGCCAACTCGGTCCCTGTCTAGTCACAACGCAAAAGATATTATGTACCCGTTTATGGTGATACAACATGGCATCCGATATATTGCCTGATCCGAAGAAGTTCCCTTGACCCATCAAGAAATTGCAAAACCATACGCAGAGCAAGTATGGAAACAAGAGAAAGTGGAAACAAGAGAAGACCCACATCACCTGATGTGTCACCCGACCCCGACTCGACATTTACACAATTAGGCCTACTAGTGTCAGTGTAAGAATAATAAGTGAAATTAAACTCACATCGTCTCTTACAAACACCAATGATAGTGAAATGTTAAAACAAGTTTACATTAGAAGTTAGCCCCCTGAGTCGGCTACTATCGCAATGCTCGGTGGTACATGGGCCGTCGGCTACTATCTCAATGCTCGGTGGTACATGGGCCGATATTGTAAACATGTGATGAAGATGAAAACTGTTTATATGTGAATAGTTATCTGTGATCAACTGAAAAACCGTGATCCTGTCCCACCCTATCGACGGTATCGGCATTGTCGTCAATCTAAGTTTGTCAATATTAGGTATAACTATTCCCATAGGCTACAGATCAGTGCTACTTGGGAATACCAAGAAACAAATACAAACATTGTCTCAACAAGATTACACATTACCAGCTGATTACGAGAGCATATGCTTTGAGTAATACGAAAATGGGGTACGTCCCAGTACGTTTCCAAAGTCGGTTGCCGAGTGGAAACGTACTGGGGAAAAGTCTCTTTGATTTTTTCCCAATTCGAATTCAAAATAACTGCCATATTTTGTGGATAAGTAACTGAATTCCGTATGTCACACCAGCACCAGCACCAGCACCAGCACCAGCACCAGCCGAGCAAAACCCCATATGGAAACAGATGTATATGTACCAAAGGAATTACCTTAGAACCCCACAATCAAGGAATGGGTAAATCATAATAATAATTATTTAGTGTTGTTCCCTTCAGCAATCATCTGGAACAGTTTCAGATTAAGATGGTTTATGAAATCTGCAATCATTTTTGTATCTGAGTGAAGTGAATAGGATTTTAAGCAGCTTTTAGCAATATTCCAGCAATATAACACAGGGGGACACCACAGATGGGCTTCACACACTGTACCCATGTGGGGAAACGAACTTGGGCCTTCAGTGTGATGATCAAACGCTTAATCCACAAGGCTACCCCACCACCCTATTTTATATGAACACTTGAAATAAAGTTTAGAAAAATGATAACATGATTTGCTTTCATCAGTTTATTTTATTATGCATTTGAAGATCTATCGTGCAAAACAAACAAATCTGTCATGTAAAATAAATCTCCAGTACCGTAAATGTTTTTTGGCGAGACAGTTATGAAAACATATGCAACTTATAAGGTTATGAAATTACATCAGTGATGTTGAAACATGTTCACAATATTTCAAGAAGTATTCAAACCAATAGTAATAAACACATCATGTCAACGTTGAGGAAACTATAAACTGTTTTGGCTATATTTGAATAATCAACATGGTATAAAAATTATGCATATATCATCAATATAAATTGCTTCTTCTATAGGCTTCCCTCCAGATTGAATGACAAAAATATTTATTTAAATGGTATGATATTTTTGTAATGTTTTGTACTGTGCGCCTAATAAAAGACACTTTTTCATTTCAGAAACTATCTACACTTCATAAACAAGAGGTTCACTTTTGAGATTTGCAGAAATTGTTGAAGAATCAGAGTTATTCAATCGAGGTGTGTTGTCGAGGTGATTCGTGAATGATTTCCATCCGATGTGTGCACTGGTTTTCTCTATGCTCATTGAAATAAACTGTTTTCATTGAAAACTTGTTTTATGGTCTCTGACAACAATCAGTATTTGCTGTTTCTTTTTATAAATTTCTGTAATACAGGACGACTGAAGCTGGATGAGGTAGTTTTAGGCAAGTGCAATGCCGGGGAAAAAGGCTGAAGAAAATAGCACAAGCACTGGCTACATGCTTACATATCACCACCTCGCGCTTTTCTGATAGGTTTTCCAGAATATCTTGTAACACCTTTGTAGTAAAAACTGTTCCCAAATGCTGCTATATATTGTATATCATTCACATTATATATATATTTTCTTCTATGTCAAGAGAGGGCACGGGTAGCCAATTCGTATGACGCCGCAATTCGCTGAGCAAAGTAGCGTCCCTTTGGAACGCCAGCGTTGCAGAACTCAGACGTGAAACCCACGAGTATGGAGCTGACAAACCAAGAAACATAATCGAGGCGAACCGAGATTTGAACCCACGATCATAGGTTTCTGGCGTGCCCAATGAACGCAACTCTGCACAGCCAATTGAGGCGCCTAAGATTTTGTTTTTGTTTGTTTAACTCTGCACTCAGCAATATTCCAGCTACATGACCGCGGTCTGTAAATAATCGAGTCTGGACCAGACAATCCAGTGATTGATATCATGAGCTTCGATCCCCGCAATTGGGATCGATGACATGCGTCAACCAAGTCAGCGAGCCTGACCCCCCGATCCCGTTAGTCGCCTCTTAGTCGTCTTGTCGAAGACCTATTCTACCCCGGATCTTCGTGGCGCCAACACTAAGACGCCTGGGTCACCCCAAACCCCCGTAGTTGTCGGATCTAATATCTAATATTAGGCTTTTGTCGACCTGCCTTCTATGGTGTACTGATAAATCCGACGACCTAAAATTATTCTAATATCTCTCTCTCTCTCTCTCTCCCCCCCCCCCCCCCCCCCCCCCCCCCCCACACACACACACACACACACTCCTCAACAGACAGTATTCATACGTATACATATTTGTACACCAAAACACCCAATCATTTTTGCATTTGGCATTGGTACCCCATAGCCGTCATACACCTGAAGCTGTTTCGCCCCTTTCACCCTACCACTCTCAACGCCCCGTGGGTTTCCAGGTTAGAATACATGTAGGTCCCCAGTTACCTATGGTGGTCGTACAGTCGACTTAGTGGATCGGGTGGTCAGACTAGAATACTTGGTTAAATTGCGTGTCATCGTATTCCGACGGCGTGATCACAACATCGATCACAGCAAACAAATGTACAAAATGTGTGTGAGGCCTTTTGCTTCTTTCGGAGTGGTGTTTCTTGTTTGAAACGGATTTTAATGACTGAGTAAAGAAATCTGATATGGAATGTCCGAACGTTGATTCAGAAATATCATACAAATCAAACTTATAGTTTCACTTTAATCATCCCAGCATCCATATCCCTGTGTGTCCAATGGATATTATTTGCGTCCACTCATAATTGTTATGCGTACAGGGCGCAATATTTTGCCCCCGGTAAAACCCTGGTGTCCCTTCATCGACCCACTCAATTGGGGATACGATGACATGCATCAACCAAGTCAGCGAGCCTGACCTCCCGATCCCGTTAGTCGCCTTCTACGACAAGCATGTGTTGTACCCATGTGGGGAATCGAACCCGGGCATTCGGCGTGACGACCAAACGCTTTAACCACCACAAGGCTACCTCTCCCCTCCCATCATTATCCCCTGAACCATTGGATACTTGAAACTGAACTGGAATGTAGTGATGAACCCAGCTATTTGGTCTCTTTAAAACTGGCTCACAATATATACTTTCTAAGGACCGACTATATATGAATTTCATTGTTGGGTATCTCTGGTATCTTATCTTGAAAATCAATAAAAAAGATCGGCATAAATAAATAACACTTCAAACATGTTAGGGGTCATGTGGTTGCAAGTTCATTTCCTATCTTAGTCTTTATCGAACCAATATATTTTCCACCAATATGTATTCAGCCACAGATTACTTTTCACAAACTG